AACACAAATTATACAATAGGTCTCTTAATCCAATATAGATGTATTGTGAATTAGAAAGAAACAGGGGGACAGAAACTTGTGATGGCCAAATAATCATTGCTTTATAAAAGTGGAAAGAATCAAAGTGTTCCCTGATCTTCTTCCAAGGACAATGTTGCACTAAGAATGAACATGCACTGCAAAGGTAGTAATTACTAGAAAGCACATACTTCCGTTACAAGAGGAATTTTTAAAATGTAGCAGGAAAGCCCAAGATTACTAATTCTATTTGCAGCTGTTACTTGGTAAAGAGTACTCAAGGACAACTTCACTCCAAGCATGTTCCTCTGTGCTTTGCCTTTGCTTACTTTCATTGTGTTTAAAAAAAACTAGTCACAAGTTGTCATCAAATTGCTTTGAAAGTCTACTTGCTGACGGACTTTTCTGTCTGTTTCATTTTTCTCTCCCATTTTTTTTTTAAGGTTCCACTTAGTGCAAATTTTCTTACAAATTTACAAAGAGGCCAGACTAGTGTTATCCTTACCATAAAAAGAAAATAGGAATGCAGCATGTAGGTAGTACTTTTCATCCCTTGATCCTGGAGCACTTCACAGAACCAGGCAAGTATCACCATCATGGCTCTCAGAATGGGATACACCAAAACCCTCTCCTCCCTCCATGGCTTGACAAAGATCACAGGCACAGAAGCTGACTTGATCCCTCCACTGCCCCAGGCAAGGTTATGTTCAGCAAACAGCTATCACCACAACAGCAAATGAATTAATAAAGAAAGATTCATCATTTCCACTGCTTTCCTATCTCTTTATTACACAGAGTATAATCCCCAAATCAACTTTTAGAGCAAGAGGCTACATAATTGGTTCAGACACAGGAAGGAGACAGTAAAACTCAGTTTCCTGTAACACCCCCTGCCAGGAATGATGGTTTTTCAAGACTGTTAGGTGTTGGGCATTCTCTCAACTACCACAGCTGCAATTAGATGCATTTTTAAGCATCCTATTAGTGGGAAGTATCACTGTGATTCCAGGTAAATCACTGCATAACATAATAATTAGCCAGGAAGTCCTTTATTCCCTGATACAGCAGGAGCCAGAATGAATAGTGAGTGCAGGAGATCCAATATCACTTGGACAGGCAATTTCCTTGGGCTTCAGCTCATGGGCTCAGAGGTGATAATATGGCTGCATATGACGTAATAATTGCATTAGTTTGGGGGTTGAGTGGGTTTGTGGTTTTTTTTTACAGAATTACAAAATTACAGAATTGAGGTTTTCTACAGTGTGGTGCACCATACAGACTGTCATACTCTGCCAAAACAAATCACTGGGAGAAGAATCAGAAAAGGAAAATAAAGAAAATTGTATCACTATAAGCTGCTTCTTTGGAGCTCAGAAAAACACTAGCACATTGTCAGGGAACTGTGGGGAAACAGTTCTTAAACTCCTTACCAACCAGCTCCTAATGACAGTTCCATTTTCTTATTTATGGCAAAATGACCACTGCAAAAAGCTTGAAGATGAGGCTAAAAGCAAAGTTTTACAAAGGCAAAAAAGATTGTGACAGAAAGAAAATGGAAACCATGTACAGTAACTAAAATCTAGCAAGGAGGTAATTTTAATACCCATAAGCATATCCTTGCTACTGGTTTTAGCATGGTTTGCAAAGAAAAAATGGTAGGATCTATTAAAGGGGAAAAATGCTGCAAACCCATTTTCACCTTAGAAAGAACAATGTTCTCAAACTCTCATGACAAAGTCACAACAAAATGGTACAAAAAGGGAAGGACACAACCAGCCTCCTTGAGAAGGGGACATGCTACAGCAGTGCTTCTCCCTAGGAGACAGCAAACAGTCAGCTCCTTGGAGCAGGACAGCATGGCATATGCTGACAGTGCTACTGTACCAGCATCAGAGCAGCACCTCAACCACTCACACAGTTCCCAAAACCAGGAGGCACCAGCTCCATCAATGTTCTGACCCCTGCTGGATCCCCCTGAAGATTAGCACCTTCACGATCTCTCCTCTCTCCGAAGCAGCAAGAGGCAAGGGCAGGGGACAGGCTCCCTCTCACTGTCCCATCCCATCTGTCTCAGCAGCACTTCTCCATTTCCCCCTGTGTGGGATTATAGGGGGTTTTGGGAAAAGTGAGGAAGGGAAGGGAAAGCTGCAGTGAGGAATGAAGACCAGAAGATCAAGTGTGTCACTACCCCTAGCAACACCTTGTTACAAAAGCCCTTTAGAAAGTGATGTCTACTTCTCTCTCCTTCCTCCCTCCCCACTTCCCAAGAAATCCTAGTCACCTAAGGAGCACAAGGCTAGCGAGGGAGAATGGGGCAGGGAGAGGAGGGCAAGTAGAGGAAAGAGGTTCTAGTCCTTGTGTCACGTCCTGATAAAGCCACCACACTCTTACTCCTTACCCAAAAACCTCACTCAGTATCACACTGCTGTGTAGTACCATTATCACTGAGTGCAGTACCACACAGACCCTAATCAGGAAAAATTCACCCTAACAGCCGGCCAAGGATTTTCCACTTCAGTAAATATGCCAACATTATAATAATTTAGAATTTGTATCAAATACAACTACATTTTCTGTGGGAAAATATCACTTGATTGAACATTTTCCATTTATTGCTTGGACAATTGGAAAATATTATTTCAGGTGAATTAGGCAGAGCAGAACACTTTTAAAAGTCAATCTAATACCACAATGTAGTTCTTTACCCTAGGAACATCCTGTTCCGGGGTCAGATGCTCATTCCCTTCCAGGAGCAAGGTTTTGCAGGCAGCTTCACTTCCCAGAATTCAAAGCATGTTTCTTTGTGACAAAGCTCTCCAGTGCCTCTTGGACATTTAATTATGGTAGAAGGGTCTCAGATAATGAAATGGGAACATCATGCTCCTGAACTATAACTTCTGAAAAGCAATACACTGTGGTAGGGAAATGCAATTAAATTTTGAACTGACTCAGGAATTTCCCATGGAACATTAATTCTATTTTCTGCTCACCTCTGAATGTCAGTCTATTTTTCTCTTTCAGTTTAGGAAGCTTATAAAAGGTGCAGTGAACCCCTACTTTTAAATCTGTAGATTCTCCCTCCCTCCTTGGGGAGGCCATAGCCATGGGAAGAGTGCATCTGCAAACAGAAGCCTATTGTGTTAAACCTTATCAGAAGCGGTGCCTAGCCCAAGGAACTGCTACCTAGATACCCAACACAGAGAAATAATAAAGGTATTTTCACCTCCTTCCAACCCCTTCTGGTGTGCAGGGGCTTTGAGAGCTCACATGACTTGCATGAAGCTGCACAGGACCTTGTGCATGAGTCAGAAACTAACCACAACTTCACCAAGACTCATTGCAAGTTTTACTCATCTTGACATTTTTTATCTCAAAGGTCTTCCACTTCAATACCTAAATAAATATTACAATAATTCCTTGATGTAAAGCAAAAAAATTCTTTTATGTAAGCAACTGTTGGCCTGGAAACTCAGCCCAGGACTGAAGCGTTGAGCTAGTCAGAGTTACTTAAAAGAACACCCAGCTAGTACAAACTGTAAATGAACTGGCTTGGATTTCGTTTTTCATCCCTACATCTGTTTTTTTGTGCCAGACTTACCTTAAAGGTTATCTATCTCTTTGTTCTCCATCCCCTACACTTAATCACACAAAAAACACTTCACAGCAGATTTGCTCATCCAAACACACCCAAATGTTTTGCAAAATTCAGGCAAGCTGACCAATAGGGATTAACTCCAGCAAATGCCAGAAAGATACCAAAAGATACCAGACACATCATCTTTCCCTGAAACAGAGGAACTGTTTCTATTTTAGTTCACCCACTTTCACATATTGTGCATGACACAGACTGCCATTATATGCATCCCTTGAGCAGTGATATCCATAACCAAAAATGTCAGGCGTCTCAGTTATCCGCAGACAGCACCTATTTCCTATGGTTATTATGGGCAGTACTAACACGTCAGGAATTCTGAGTATGTTTGGGGGAACTGACACCAGATCCTAAGTTAGGAGCTCCTCTACTATGAGTGTAAAACACACATGCCCAGAAAAAATGGTATAAACAATGCTGACATTTAGACAACACACACTCAAAGCCCAGACTCGGATGAAACTCCCAGACTACAAGTTCTTGCTATATAACAAATAGTACATCTAACTTCCAAATGAGCTGCTGTATTTCAAAATTCTTTTGGGTACAGGAACACCACAACTTCACTAGAAATATTTCAGAGACTGCCTGAAAAAGACATTGATCAATGAGGCAATGTATCTGCCAGACACTGAAATGACTTTGGATAAGTTCTAGGAAGAACATGATAGCCTGAATTTCCTTTTTTTTTACTCACAAATTCACTATCTTAGTGAGGACTACCAGGGAAATGCACAGATTTTTAAATTACTGCTAGAAGGACTTTGTTCAAAGAAAATGATAGCCAAAATGTTTGTTGTTTTTTCTTTAAAAAAAAACCTCAAACTCCCAGTAAAAGCATTATTTGGGAACAAACAAACATGAAGGTTAAATTTAATTAACCCTGTGCTGTGATCAAATTCACCCATGAGGAAATAGTTTGTAAATTAAACCATTGTCAAACAACCAAGCAAACATTGATTACATCCACTCTAACGTGGAAAACAACTTGCTTTTCAACTTTGTAATAATAAGCAACATTTCAAACAGCATGTCCTACTAACGAAGACCAAAGGTATATAACAAAAATCATCTGCTAGGAACACAGCACTCCAAACCATAATGGCAAAATAAAGCCCAAGACTCCCTAGGTAAGCCAAGAAAAGTTAACACTTCACAGAGGAATAAAGTTCAAATGCTCCATATGGGGAAAACGGGAGACTAAATCGCCCGGGGTAAGCATTACTTAAGTATCCACCTCATCCTAGAGGAACTTCCAGAGTGCTTTGAAGGCAGCAGGAAAGCCCAGAGGAACCACCCCAGCAAACGCAGAGGCAAGCTTCCTACTTACCCCACTGTATGCACCATGATCTCTTTTGCCACCTTAGTAATTCCCAAGAATCCAGAATGATGTTACTTTTTTAGGGAATATTACAGCTGCTAGAGGAGACAGAGGCAAGCTGACAAGCAGAACTTTGCGAGAAGCCAGGCAGAGAGGGATGAATTTAAACCTTGGCTCAAGATGCTGTGTATTCTGCGTCTATCTTTAACTTCTAAATGATTTGGTTTCACATTCCTCTGAAGTCCTGCTGGCAGATGCCTTCGCGGAGCTTTACCAATCGCAGGCACCCTGCCCCCTCTCCTCCTCTATCCCTCCACCTCCCTCCCTCCCTCCCATCCTCCCAAGCTGCCACTCCACCCCCATCTGCCCCATCCCCACCTCTCCTCACACTCACACACACACACACACACGCACAGAGGGGTTGGCTCGCAGGATTTCACGGGCTTCCAGCCCCGGCTGCCCGCCCACATCTGAGGGAGCCGCCCGCCCGCCCGCCGGGCACCGGGGCCAGCGGCCCGGCGAGCAGCGCCTCACGGAGCGTTCGGAAATCGGGGCAGGTAGCTGGAATCACAGCCTGTGCCCACTCCGCCAGGGTCCCTGAGCCCCAGCGGCACTGAGCCAGCCGCGGTCCTTAGCGGGACCCCCGGGGCGCATCTTCCGCAGGGGAGCCCGGGCAACACGGGCCGGAGGGCTGGGCAAGGCAGCAATCCACCCACCCGCTGCTGCACGGAGGGTCGGCAGAGACACATCTACAGCTTACAGCACTTCCGACTGCACAGGCAGCTTTATGGAAAAAGGACATTTTAACAAAAAACTCCCAAAAAACTCTAACCCAAAATAAAATATATGATAAACTTTGTAGCAGATCTTGACTACGAAGCTTTTAAATTTCACTATTAGTCCGTGGCTCCTTACAGTAACAATGCATTGCAATATTGTTTAGACTCTGAAGTAACTAGAGTACAGATTAGTGATAGAATTCTAGGTGACTGAAGTGGGGGAAAAACCCCTTCCATGTAACTCCAAAAGTCAGTATCCCTACCAGAGGTTGCTAGTGTTGACATAAACCCCTGACTCTTAAAATCAGCGTTTTGAAGCAGCAGATTTTAATGCTCAAATGCATATTCTGTTGAATACTGCCGGCCATCAAGTCTGCCTTATCTCAGACATGGGTGGGAGCGGAACAAGCCGCAAGACTTTATGTAAAACGTATGAATTATTGAACACTTTCAGTTGCAACAGGAAAATACCAATTGCCAGTCACACCAATTCAAACAGAATAACCTGGTAAATGTGTCTCTTTTCTTGGAATCTTCAGCCTTTGTCTGAGCTGCTGCCAAGAGGGGGTTGTAGGGATGTGGCCAAGCAAGCAGCAAGCACAGGTTGGGGCAGAGGGGGCAAAGCCAAGCTGTGCCCAGAATCCCTTGGCTGAAAACATGGTTTGAAAATGCCTTGCCAATGCCCAATTTCATGGAGCATTACACTTTTTAGAACACCAATGTTGAGAGGCTGGACTGATACAGTAGTAAAAGTGATCAAGCATTTACTTCAGGCCAATGAAGGAAACTGGTCAAACTTGGAAAGGCCTCAAGGGGAGGTAAAAAAGTCAGCCAAAGGGCTGTATCATAGGGCATATTAAGAAAGTCTCCACATCTCCTGCCTGCTTGATAACATGCATAAAAATAAGTGTGTTTGAGAATACATATAGCATATATAGTCTGATAAAAAATAGTAACTCTACAGTAATTGTCATGGTCAGTCTGCATACACTGAAAGGCAAGAGCTCTTCTTAACCTGGATGGAGGTCAGGTTTGTGGGCCTGGAAGTGCTGCCAGCAGCACAGAAACATTAAATAACAAATCAGCTGACAACTCCCAGAAAGTTGAAAGATTTCTTTTGAATCACTAACATTTGTTACTATTAGCAAAGCCAGACCCCATTATGTTCAATACCTGCCTTCCAGAGTGTGTTAAAACCTCCAGCTAAACCTGCCATGGACTTCCCGACAGATGAGGAATAAGTCACTTCACTGCTTTTTCTCAGGATTCCTGATACAACAGTTCAGGACATTTGTCCATTACTCAGGTTGAGGAGCTGCAGGGAACTGCAGGAAAGCTGCCTTGTCTGGCACTGCTTTCTGACAGAGCCACCTCTAACACTGCTAGCTTATAAATCCCTCAGAGCACAGAAAATCAGAGTCAGAGAATTCCTGTTCAAATGGTGCAACTTCATATAATGCAGTATGTACATCAAGTCATTTTTTTTCCCAACTGTTTGTAAAGATGTCAGCCTTGAAGGGCAGACAACCACTAGAAGCAGAGACTAACTGTTAACATTAGGTTTTAATAAGTACGGTGGTGCTTAAGATGCTCAGAGAGACAAAAGAACAAAGAAAAGTCTTTGTGCCTTTGTGGCTGAGGGCTCCCTTCTAATTAGGGCAACAAGGAAGGAAGAAAGAAGCTCCCCGTGGAAGAAGGTGTGATGGACAAATGTGGTGATTCAGAAATGAAGTCATGAACAGGAAGGATTAGGACTGAGCTGTTTATAGGACTTCAAACTACCTCTAGAGAGTGCTTAAGTGTAAGGGAAAACAATGGCAGGGAAATCCACGGAAGTACATCCACGCTTTTATCTAAGCTTCTGCATTTCCTTTAGTAGATATAGAGGGAAAAGAGATTTGGCTTTGAATCCTTTAAAAGGCCACTGGTTGCTTCCCATGCCTCCTAAGAGGGTATTTAAAAACCTAAGAGTATGGGGAGGGGAAGAGCTTTGGAAAATGATGCTGGAAGTTACTGGGAAACCTTGGATGTCAACCTGGACAGCATGATCCCAATCCCATGAATGAGAGAGACAGAGGTCATATGTCCAAAAACCGTATCACACAAGCCAAAGGAGAAGACAGGTGTTCAGTTTCCTCAGATGAAGAGCTGTGCAGTAATACCAGGGTCTAATGTGCAACATAAAGTGTACAGCTGCAAGATTTACCACTGCTGTGACGGAATACTGCTCTCCCAGCAGGGTCTGCTGCTTATAGCCAGCATCAGGTGAAACACATCAGGGACTTCTGTGGCATTGGATTTGAGATCTATGAAAACATATTAATAGTAAGTTCTTGTGGAGGAGTGGGAGCTCAAGTTGGAGCTGGCAAGGGAGCGGATAAGGGAGTGGCAGAGAGGGGAGAGTAATTTGGTACCAGTTACAAGTGTAAAGAGGTAACATGTTTGGAGCCATGTGACTTCCTACCCAGTCCCAATTTAGCCAAGTGCCTAAAAGGCATGATCTGTCCCTTCATGTTTAGCTATTTTTAACACGCACAGAATTTGCTCTTTGTCTCCCCTTGTCTGTCAGTGTCTTCAATTCATTAGTCTTGGCAGTCTTAAGATTTGGGCTTACTGAGACAAGCAACATCTTCTACCCTACAGGCTCAATCTTTCTAGGTCTTACTCAAGAGTATTTCCTCCTCTTTGGCATGATCTTGTTAACCTCTGCAGATATTTCAGCACAGGTTTGTCCAAGAGTAAGAGCTCTGGAGTAGAGACTGTAATTGCACTGGCAGGCATGGAGTTCCTGCCCGTCACAATGGATTCAGCACTGTTTATTCAGTATTACTCAACCTGCACACCCCTCACTGCCCCAGCTGACCTACAGCCAAGCCTACGTACTTATACCCTCTACAAAATGGTCCAGCACGTGGGGTTTGACCAAATGTTGATCCACGTGCTGCTTCTCTCCTGCCTACCACTTTTTTTTTTTTCCTTAAAGAGGGGGGACAGCTATTGCAGCAGTGGGGACAGGGTTCTCTTGGTGGCAGCTCCCAAGCACCCACTTCCTTGCTGCCCCCCACCACACAGCCTCCAACATAGCAGGATACACCTGCCCTGGAAGGAAATGCAGGGGATGGACATGGGCTCACCCAGGGCAAAACACTACCCTGGTCTCCCAGTGTCTGGGCACAACACTCCTGCCCATTGCCATGGGGCCCACGGAGTAATGGCAGACAGCTCAGTCACTGAACGTGTTCAGATGGGTTAGCTCTGCTATTTGTAAAACACATGCAAATTGTCTGAATTCTTAATAAGCATTAATAAAGTAAATGGGGAATGCACTTAATGTATACTCTATGACCATTTGTGCAGCAACAGAGGATTTTCTGTGCCAGCTTTTCTGTTCTTGATTTCCATGTTTCTGTGATTCAAGCCACAGGGAAAGAAGGGAGATCATCCTTGGTCACAAATTGAAGCTTCAGGAATAAATCATATTTTCAGTATTGCATTTGACTAAATTAAGAAAAAACCTATTCTTTACTTTTAAACATGTCTTTCTTTTTGCTATGTCCTGTATACATTTGGTAAGAGTTTTTTAAGAGTATGAATACATGGCTTAAACCAGTATTTATCATCATATAGAAATAAGTATGTCACATGTACAGGAGCCAGGATATGAAGACTTTGGCTTTATTTTTGTACACAAGAACAAAGTTTTAACATTAATTATCAAGAGTTAAGCAACTCTTGAAAAATTCTGTGCCCTTGCCTTTACCAGATGCATTTTCAAGCTCAATTGAAAAATACCTAAGGGGAGGACTAGAACAATTCTGGTTCCATTTATCTTTACACTAAATACAGGAAAAAGACTAACTCTTTTTTGGTGCGGTGCCCAAACTGATCAACAAAATTAGGATCTGAGATATAATAAAATTAAGAGCAACTTTTAAAAAATGAAGTTTCATAGGTAAATGGATAATTTTACCAGACTGAAAAATATTTTTCTAAAAAGAAATAAAATCAGGTAAACCTAAGCCCACGAAGTGCTGAGGCCTGGAAAAGTCTTTCTGGAACTGGTAGTGCTCCTGGATAAATAAAAAGGCTGCTTTCAGACTTTCTAGTATCATCTATTATTTGTCCTCTACCTGAAAATGCTGAACTTTCAAGGTTTGAAGTAACAGTTATAGTTCATTTAGGTCGCTCAGCGAGCAGTGCACCTAATGAAGATTGTCTTCCTCAGGATTTATGATCCTCTGCTATTTATTGCTTCCAACACTAGTAATCCCTGTTTCCTCT